TGTCTATCGAGATATTTCAGTTTTCATCACAAATTTTAGTAATTTAAATTTTCTCTCCTCATCATTAGTATGGCTAAGAGTTTATCAATTTTAATTTTTCAAAGAACCAACTTTTTGTTTTGTCAATGTTTTTGAGTTTTTATTATTAAAAGGAGCTTCATTTTTTAAACTTAGCTTTCTGACTCTGTGCTTGTGCCTTCAACACTTTCACAATGATTTTCTGTTCCTCAATAAGGAAAGCACACTCGATCCTGTCATGGACACATTTAGCACACATGGAACATCCATAGGCCATGCTGACATGTAAAAATATGGAACACTTCACAAATTTGTGTGTCATCTTTGTGCAGGGGCCATGCTGATCTTTTCTGTATTGTTCCAATTTTAGTATATGTGCTGCCAAAGTGAGCACTGTCAATTTTTTAAATTGTTTCTTTTGTTTCAGTTTCATTGATTTCATTTCTGAATTATTTATTTCCTGTCTTCTACTGCTTTCAGTGTTGATTTGTTCCTCTTTTTTCTAGAGCTTTGAGAAGTAATGTTAGGTCATTCATTGGCTTACTATTCTTTCAATCAGTGAACTCAATGCAATGAACTTTCCTCTTAGCATTGCCTTCATAATGTCCCTGAGATTTTGATATGCTATACTGGTGTTCTCATTTACCTCTAAGTATTTTTAAATTTCATCCCTGATTTCTCCTACTATCCATTTGTCATTCAGTAGCATATTATTTAGTCTTCAGGTGTTAAAGTAGCTCCTATTTTTTATTTTATCATTGATTTCTAATTTCATTCCATTATGATCTGATAGAATACAGGGTATTATCTCTATTTTTTTGGTATTTGCTAAGATTTTCTTTGTGGCATAAGATATGGCCTATTTTAGAGAAGGATCCGTGTGCGGCTAAGAAGAAAGTGTATTCACTTGTTGATGGATGAAATATTCTATGTATGTCTGGTAAGTCTAAATTATTGATTATATTATTTAGTTCTATAGTTTCTTTGTTTAGTTTTTGTTTGGAAGATCTTACTACTGAATAGATAGGTGTGTTAAAGTCAACCAGTATTACTGTGTTATGGTCTATTCGATTGAGAAGGGTTTGTTTGAGGCAGATAGATGCTTCATTGTTTGGGGTATAAATACTTAACGATTGTTATGTCTTGCTGACATATAATTCCTTTAAGCAGTATGAAATGTCCTTCTTTGTCTCTTATGATTAACTTTGGCTTGAAGTCTACTTTATCTGATATCACGGTGGAAACCCCTGCTTGTTTACGTGATCCATATGAGTGATGTGTTTTTCCCATCCTTTCACCTCCAGTCTGTGGGCGTCTTTGCCTATAGGTGAGTCTCTTGGAGAAAGCATGTTGTTGGGTCTTGTTTTTAAATCCAATCTGCCAGTCTATGTCTTTTGATTGATGAGTCTGGGCCATTAACATTTAAAGTTATTATTGAGAAATGATTTGTATTCCCAATCACTTTGGTTTATTTCTGTTTTTTAATTTGACATAGTTTCTCCTTTGATTGAATATTCCTTTAGTGTAGTTCCTCTCTTTGCTATTTTTCACTGTTTTCCCCCATTTCATCCTCATGTAATATTTTGTTGAGAATGTTCTGTAGTGCAGGCTTTTTAGTTATGAATGCTTTTAACTTTTATTTATCGTGGAAGGTTTTTATTTCATCTTCAAATCTGAAGCTTAATTTTGCTGGGTATAAAATTCTTGGTTTGCATCCATTTTCTTTCAGAGTTTGATATATATTATTCTAGGACCTCCTAACTTTGAGGGTTAGCTGAGATCTGAATAGGTTTCCCCTATATGTAATTTTATTTTTTTTCTCTCTCAGCATTTACAATTCTATCCTTTTTCTGTATGAAAGTTATTTTCATTAGAATATATCTTGGTGTGGGTCTGCTTAATTTTGTACATTTGGGGTCCTGTAAGACTAAGACTCTTGTATTTGAATTTTTATTTTATTCTTTAGGTTTGGGAAAATTTCTGATATTATGTCATTGAAAATATTGTGCATTTCTTTTGGTTTGTATCTCTGCACATTCATCTAGCCCAATAAATCTTAAATTTGGTCTTTTCATGTTATCCCATAATTATTGGAAGTTCTGTTTATGGTTTTTTACAATTTTCTCTGCATGGCCAACTTTATTTTCAAGATCATATATTTTTATCTTCATTGCCTGAGGTTCTGTCTTCCAAGTGGTCTAATCTGTGGGTGATACTTTCCATTGAATTTTTAATTTGATTTATTGATTCCTTCATTTTGTGTATTTGTGCTTGATTTCTTTTAGGAATCTCTATCTCTTTATTGAAGTGATCTTTTACCTCCTGAAGTTTACCTCTGATTTCACTCCTTACATTGTCCTTTACTTCAGGGATCAGTTTAACTATGTAAATTCTGCGTTCCTTCTCTCACATTTCTTCTACTGTGTTGTCAGTAGATTCTATTGTTGGAGCATCTAGATTTGTTTGGGATGCTTTGTTCCCTTGTTTTTTCATGTTGTTTGTGTGTCTTCCCATTTAGTGGTATGGATCTGAGGCAGTACAGTTTCTACCCTGTGGACTTCATAGTGTCCCTGAAGAACCTCACCTTTAAGGGGGAGAGCAATATTAACAGCACCCAATGCAAACTTATATAGCCTTAATCCAACTAGCTCCTGTAAAGACATCTACAGTTTTGCTCATAATAAACAGACACATGTGTTCAATTATTGTCTACAACATAAACAGTAAGTCTACTGAAAGGCTTTACAGTTTCAAATGGTGTACAAAGACAGAACATATGTGGTGTAGGATGTGATGTTTATGAGGGAGGAGAAGAGAAGGTAGAAGTAAAAATTTATGGTAGGAGTGAAGGAGGAATCAATAGAGGTTGGCTGTTAGCAGGAGAAAAGAGAAATAATTCAGGGAAATAGATAAGCGAGAGGGAAAATATATACAAAGTAAAAAAAAAAAGGTAACAATATAAGAATACACAACAAAACTGTAATATACTATTCAAACATCCCAGTCCTCAATAAACTGATGCATACATATTTCTTGGTTTCAAAATGGTAGATACGTGAGAAAGAGGGGGAAAATATCTTGATGGAAAATTGAACAATCGTTTCTGTTGGCTTTCAAAAGTTTCACAGCTTCCCTTCTCTGCGGATAGGTGGGGTTGTCTGGAGTTTGATGACAAGGCCAGTCCAGTGGGTGCTGGACTGGCTGGTTGGATGAACTTGTACCTTCTTCCAAACTTTCGACCTGTTGTAGCCAGCCCAGTCTGTCTCTATACACTCAAGGATTCTCTGAGCTGGGGAGAACCTGGCTCTCTTCAGCCTCTCCAATGTGTGCTCCTCCAGGGTGAAATGCCCCCAGTCTCCAGCCTTCCACAGGATTGCCAGACCCAGACTGGCCCATGCAGACCCAGCCACAAACTGAGGTATATGGGCTTTGGATTCCCCAGTCTCTGTTACACTGCTGTCCCAAGATTTCAATGATGATCCAACTTGCAATCAGAGAGGCCACCAGGGATGTACTCACAGAAAGAAGCACATGTGAAAAAGCAGCAAGATGGCAGCCAGTAGCACACCCTGCAGAAAGACCCAGATGCAGCCAAACCCACAGGCACCCCAACACTGGACCTCCAGATCCTGGCCAGTGTCCCAGACAGAGGCAGCTGAGCCCCAAGTTGGCAGCAGTGGCAAACCTGCAGGCACCGTGGCCTTGGACCCCCAGGCCATGGCTGGTGTCCCAAGATGGAGGCAGCTACATGCAACCAAACCTGTAGGCATCCTGACAGTGGACCTCCAGGCCCTGGTCAGGTGGCTGCATTCTAAAGACATTTTAATTGAAATCATTTAAATGTTTCTTTAAATTCTTGAAAGCAACTGACATTTAATTTTATGATGATATTTAACAAGTTTTAAAACATACTTGTCTCAGTCCATCTGTCCTGCTATAACAAAATGCCATAACCTGGGGAGATATTTACCATCCTTAGCACCAAAACAAAACCAAAAAAAACCCAAATTGATTTCTCACAATTCTGGAGGCTGTGAGGTTCAAGATCAAATCACCAGCAGATCTGATGTCCAGGTAGAGGGACTGGTCCATTGAAAGCATCTTTTCACATGTTCTCACGTGGTGGAAGAGGTGAGGGGGTGACTGGGGACTCTTTTATGGTGACAGCAGTGCTATTTATTAGGGATCTATGATTATGACTTTAGGACTTCCCTGTAGTTATCTTGGGTGTTGAGAATGGGTAACTTTTCCCCTTCTTTTCACTTAATTATATTCTCCAAAATGTATAAATGAAACTAATTTATTTGGCACAAGAAAAAACAACAAGTACTTTAAAAACAAATGCTATCTATTCAGGTAGCTAATAATAATCTATGGACTGAAAATTTCGACTCAGTTGAAAATGCTTCAGAAATGAATTAGAAATTGCATTCACATTTGCAATAAGATAGACAAAATACTAGAGGTGGATGGAAGTCTGTGAGCAAACTATTTGATGCATCTCTTGATTGAAACCCACAAATCTGCAATGGTTAACCTAAATACAAGACTTGGGCTGGATCTGTAGTTTTCTTCCCACTAGTGGTAGTATCAGGATTCAGTGCCCGGAGTCGAGTCTGCTTTGCTTAATTTGCAACTCACAATGAAATCACAGAAGGGATGGCTGTGGGTGAAGAGATGGCTAGTTTGGGTCTTGGTAAGGAGACTGGCTTCTTCGGGTGAGGGATGTGGTTCTGTAAGGTGCTCTGAAGTGACCAGAATGCCCAGGGCTAGAGGAATTAGGGTGAGAGGAGCAAGGGTACTCTCTGTCTTGTCATATATTATATTATTTATCTTATTATATTATATATCTTGTCATATATTATATATATCATATATAATATAATATGTATTGTCATAATATATGACAATATATGTCATATATTGACATATATGCTTCTGGTACTCAGCCTGCAACTTTGCTCTGTTTTTGTCCCCTGCAGGCACGGGTAGAGCCAGTTGTGCAGAGCTCTGCAGCGAGCAGCCCAGAAAGAAGCAATGGGTACCATGGAACCCAGCTGAAATGAACTGCTCCTTTGAGTCTGTCCCAAGCCTTGGTGCCAAGTTTTCATCCTAGTGCTGAGGTAAGAACCCTTGAATCCTTGCTTGGGGAAAGAGACAGCAGAATGCCTCTTTGCAGAAGGGGAGAAGGAAATGCCCTCTTCTAAGGCTCATAAACAAGGAGCAGTTGCTTGTGGTTCAAACCATGTGCTTCCACCTGAGCTCATCTGGGAGGCAAGGTTATTTGAAGGCAGAATGACATCTAGATAAGGAGTTGTATTTTCTTGGTTGCTGATGAAATTTGAACTCCAAAGAGAATTAATTTATCTTCCAGGTAAGACTGCACCAGATTCAGGTGCATGCTTAGGTGCACCTGTCCTTCCCTGCAAGGGAAGTAAGCTCTTAGGAAACACACACACACACACACACACACACACACACACACACACACCAGCCTGAGGGAGACAGAGTGACATAAATTATGCATTTCATTCCAGTAAATCTATAAAAAAATTAACTATTAACCTGGATATGTTCTGAGTATAAAAGTAAAATGTGGACATTTGGAAAAATATTAATGTGGAAGAAAATAAACATGTAAAATTCTACTGGTGTTACCAGACCTTCAGGTCATTTTCTATTAAGATTACTCTTAAGTTTGCACAAGATGCTGCTTCCTTCTGCAGGGAGATAGAAAGATGCGGCAGAAAGAACACTGAATGAGGAGCCTGAATGAGGAGCCAGACCTTGCCTCCAGTCTGGAATCTTTCCAGAGCTGATTTTTTTAAGTATCCAGGAATTTTACAAGCTGGTTGTTAACAATTGTTAGAAAAAATGTTGGTGGTTTGAAATTGGCCATGGTGGGAAAATGTATGCCACAAAAGTTAGCAAATTTTACAATTTTTTTTTACTATATTTTCACTTCTTTTTTTTAAATTAATTTTTAAATTTATATATGACATCAGAATGCATTACAATTCTTATTACACACATAGAGCACAATTTTTCATATCTCTGGTTGTATGCAAAGTATATTCACACCAATTCGTGTCTTCATACACGTACTTTGGATAATAATGTCTATCACATTCCACCATCATTTCTAAACCCATGCCCCCTCCCTTCCCCTCCCACCCCTCTGACCTATCTAGAGTTCCTCTATTCCTCCCACGTTCCCCCTCCCTACCCCACTATGAATCAGCTTCCTTATATTAGAGAAAACATTCAGCATTTGGTTTTTGGGGATTGGCTGACTTCACTTAGCATTATCTTCTTCAACACCATCCATTTACCTGCAAATGCCATGATTTTATTCTCTTTTATTGCTGAATAATATTCCATTGTGTATATGTGCCACATTTTTTTTTTTATCCATTCATCTACTGAAGGGCATCTAGGTTGGCTCTACAGTTTAGCTATTGTGAACTGTGCTGCTATAAACATTGGTGTGGCTGTGTCCCTGTAGTATGCTGTTTTTGAGTCCTTTGGGCAAACGGGGCTTTTTGTTTTGGAAATTTGGATTGCAACAGTTCCTCACTGGTTCCAGTGGCTACTCTACCATCATGCAAGTTACTCCATCTGTGTGTCCCCCCTCCCCCCCACTTTTTTTTTTCTCATTTGTGCACAGCAGGTGTTCAATAAACATTAGCTGCATGGATCAATGGGAGTGATATTTCTGTCCTTCTTATCTCCTAAGATACCTTGTTATCTCCATAAGAAAATGAAAATGAATGTCTTGCATGCATGCCATGAGGCTCTCTGCCCATGTGGGGAGGGGCACAGTGAATTGGGAAACCTTAGGGCTATTGATGGAGAGAAGTTGGCTGTGTTTCCTCCTGTGACTCTCACTTCTGGGGGTTCTGTGAATTACTGACATCCTTTCATAAAAGGCAGATCAAACCTCCATTTATTAACTAACATCTGGGGCACATTTCCTTCCTGAAAAAAGTCAAGAAGCCAGTCAGAGAAGTGTGAATAGGAAGCCTCAGGATACAGAATGTGAGAGCCAGGAAGAAAATCAGCTTTTGACTCATAATCTCTACTGGGGGAGGGTGTGATGGGGACTTCCTGCCAAATGTGAAATTTCAACAAAAGCCTCTTTCTTCAAGGTCCTGCTGTGGCAGCCGATTAGAGTTTATTAAATTAGCATAATAGAGTCTCAGCCTCTTTCCTCCCTCCTGCATGTGTCCTGAAGGAGGGGACAGAGGAAAGGGTGAGACATCAATTAAGCACCAGTTTGTCTTCCTGAATTGTAGGTTCAGAATATTTAAAAGGTGAAAAGCACTGTAGCTGTGGCCATGTGGCCCCACACCTTCATTTTCAGAAACCACGTCACAAAAAAGCTGTTGGTGGTCCCGGCCTGAGCCCAGGCTGGGGGTGGGGCACTGCTCTGAGGCTACTGACCACACTACTGAGCCTTTGCTTATACCTGGCAAGGGCTGGGTCTCCAGGTGCCAACCCTGCCTCTACCCTCTCCAGGCCTTCTCTCGTATCTGCTGCCACAGCCCCAGTGCACTGTGTGAGGTACTCTCTGGTAGGATTAAGAGTGGAACCCGTTAAAAAGATCTTACATTTATGAGGAAGAGAAGGGAAAGGTATCTTTTGAACTCATGGTGGTTCCAGGCACTGTGTCCTGTGCTCTGTCTACCTTATCTCTTTAAATTTTACAACAGTACTTATCCCCAGCCTTTATCCTCTCTCCTGCATGTGTCCTAAAGGAGGGGATGGAGCATCCATCCCCATGTCTCAGATGTAGAAATTGAGTCTCGGGGTGGTAGGTAAAGAGACTTGCCCAAGATATCACAGCCCATAAGCAACAGAGATATAAAATTAAGCTTGTTTCTGACCTCCTCAGCTTCTCAGAACTAGTGAGTGCTTTTCACAGCAAATAGAGGCCCACACAGGATTTCCAAGTTCTAAACCCAGTTCCAAAAGGCAGAGTCTCTCCCCTCAGGGAGCATTGGTCCATCTCTCTACAGCCAGGTGAACAGCTGCAGTCCAAAGTGCTTGAAGCTTTGAAAAATGCTGCACTGTTCCTTATAATCCCAAGGGCTCAAGATAACACCAGAGCTGAGAGCATCCACAGAGCCCTACGGCCCAGTCCACTTGTTCTTCTGATGCCCTAGGAGGGGCATGATGCCCGTGATCCCCCAGCTCTCCCAGCCAGTTAGCGACAGGGGCTTCTCAGACTCAGGACTCTCAGAACAGTTTCCAGGAAACACACCGAGATGAGCATGTTTGGCTTTTCCTCCACGGCTGGGGAAGAGAGTACTCCTTTGGCAAGATGGATTTATTTCAGTTCCATAGATATTTACTGAGTGCCTGCTGTGTGTCCAGCTGAATATTTCAGCCTATTTGGGCAAGAAATTTTGGCCCACATTTGGGCAACTGATCTGACAAGGGGCAAGGAGAGGAGGTTCCCTGCATCAAGACTGCACAGGACATGGCTTCTCCTTCCCCTTCCTCCTGCAACCACACACTTCCCGATTGTCTTTCAATAACTCTAAAGGGCAAATTCTGTCTTATGTTGTTGTGAATTACTGACGCCTTTTCATAAAGGTGGATAAAAGCCCTTCATTTACTGACCAATATCTGGGGCACATTTCTTTCCTGGAAGATTCCAAGAAGTTGGTCAGAGATGTGTGAAAAGGATCCTCAGTGATATTGGACTTTTAGTGCTCAACCTGTGAACTGGAAAATAGTAGAACATGGGCGAGGGTTTTGGAAGATCCTCACGGAGGGCAGGACTGAGGGAAAGAGCCATCTGGGAAGCTCTTCTCAGTGCAGGTGCATGTTCTGCCCTGGAGCGGGGCCTAATGGGGTTGCTAAGTGCAGGTTCATGGATAATCGAGAATCCTTTTCATCAGTGGCATCTGATCAACTTCAGAAAATGGAGAAGCTCAATTCTGCAGAGGATGGAGTTAGGGCTGAGAGAGTTCCTTGGAAGGCTGGCTGGTTAGCCTTCCCCTCCTTTCTGTGAGAAGTGGAGATCCAGAAAGCTGAAGGGCTTTGTTTATCACACAAGTGGAACTGGATGGAGTCTGTTCCCTTGAGTGGTCAGGATCCGGCCTCACACCAAACCACTCTGGCTTCTAGGGAAGGCTGCCCTGGGAGCAAGCCCAGCCCACATCCTGCCTTAGTCTGTCTGTTCCAGAAGACTTGACTGTGGGGGGCATTTGCGGCAATGACAACCTGGGATGGGGAAGGTGTCATCTCAGTGACGCAGAGATGGGCAGCCTCAACCCCATCACCTTCCTTCTTTCACATCCTCCTTAGGCCAGAGAACTATGGCTTGTGACTACAGGCTGGGGATTTGGCACTGTAGAGAGGCTATTCGAATATAGGGTAAAGTGCCCAGTTTTGAAGATGTTTAACCCAGATTTGAGCCTGACCAGGACCACCCAGGCTTTCTGACCTGATTCCTCATCTGTAAAATGGGCTGAATTCATAATAATTTCTATAAAGTTTTTCCCCACAAAGCAGATGCCTATTAAATGGTACCCATTATTATTTTTCATGCATCTTTACTGAAGTTTAATGACAAATCAAAACCTTCACATATTTAAATTGCACAACAAGTTTTGACATATATATATATATACACACACTCAGATTATTCCCATAATCATGTTGATGAACATAACCACTACCCCACCCCCAGTGTCCACCCTCAGGTATCCCTCCCTTCTGCCCCTTTCTATTACCTTCCTCTTTCCCCTAATAGCCACTAATCTGCTTTCTATTACTATAGATTAGTTTACATTTTCTAGAACTTTATGGAAGTGGAATTATATAGCATGCACCCCTCTTTCACGCAGCATAATTATTTGATATCCATTTATGTTGTTGGATGTATCATTAGTTTGTTTCTTTGTTGCTAAATAGTATCTGATGGTAGGGATGTACTGCAATCTAGCCATTCATCTGTTGATAAATATTTGGGTGGTTTTCAGTTTGGGACTCTTAAAATCAAGCCACTAAGCATGTGTAAAAAAAAAAAATTGTGGAGACATGCATTCATTTCTCGTGAATGAAACACCTGGAAGTAGAGAATGGCTGTGTATTCTCTTAGTCTTTTGAGAAG